GGTCGACATCAGCGTCCACATCGTCAAGCAGGGTAGTGAAGGCGGCTGGGGCCAATCAAGCGTGGAAGCTCAGTCGCTCAGGCGGCCGTCGAGCTCGACTAGAACGTCGCAGCTCAGGCTCAGGCTTCTCGACCGGAACCTCCACCACATCACTGTCGGTAGACTCTTCTCCTGTCGACAGCTCCCCTTCGTTGTTGACCGCCTCGTCGACTACTCCACCAGCGTCTGATCCTCGACTGGCTGCTCCCCTCTTGTCGGCCTACTTGCTGACGACTCCTTCGTTGACAACTCCCTGTCGACTTCCCCGTCCGTGGCTCCTCTGTCGACTAGACTTCTGTTGCTGCCGTTCTGCTCTTGCCCCACTGTCTGCTGCTTCCCTATCGACAAGTGCACATCATCGTCGACGAGCTTGGCATCATGTCGGCCGCTGGCTATGCCACTGGCCAGTGCCACAGGCGACGCCTCAAGGCTCCCCTCATCGCCGGTGGCTGACACGGGTGTCGATGCAGGCCAATTTGCGACGGGGTTGGGAGGAGCAAGGACAGGAGGAGGAGGGAGGACTTCCTTGACGTCCTCATCAGCAGCTTGTCGACCTCAGCGAGCAGAGGGAACGTCGCCGTTGATGTGTCCGTCGGCGGGTGTGCCTGCGTCCGCCCTGACACTGGCCCGTAGTTCGCCTTCTACACCTCCAGCGACAATATCTCGTAGAAGATCACCTCGACTGATGTAACCACCTTGTTGTCGCTCAAGTTCAGCACCTCCCAGCCCTTGCTCTCCGGCGACACGCCCAGGTGAAGCCCCCAACGAGCCTTCGGCGCCAGCTTCCCACCGCGCTGCTGCTCGGGGACCATGAACTGCACCATGCAGCCCCACACCCGCGCCAACGTGAGAACGGGCTTCTTCCCGGTCAGCAGTTGGTACGGAGTTGTCTCCAGCGGCGTCGTCGACCGCTCCAAGCAGTTGCGCACCCAGACCGCCTGTTACAGGGCTAGGTGACACCAGTGGTGCTGCACTCCCATGTGCTGCAACATCGTCCTCACTGACTCGACCACCGTCCGCATCTCCTGCTCCGCCATGCCGTTCTGCTGCGGAGTGTAGGGGCAGGTCAGGTCGTGGACAATGCCCTTCTCGTCGATGAAGGTGGTGAACTCCTTCCCGAGGAACTCCCTTCCTCGATCTAAGTGGAGCATCAGCACCGACTTCTTCGTCTGTCGCTCCACTTGGACCAGCCACTTCTCGAACTCCCGCAATGCATCATTCTTTTTAGCGACCGGCATCACCCACACAAACCGGGTGTGGAGATCTTTCAGCAACAGGATGTACAAGCTGCCATCCATGGCAGCCACCCGAAATGGCCCGCACAAGTCAATGTGCACGACAGCCAATGCCTCTTCGGCGTCCAAGCCCTTGTCGGGGAAACACACGGTAGGTCCGCTCCGGTCGACGGCGTGATGTCGAGCTCGGTAGCAACTCCATGCTTTGCCGAGTTTTTGATCGTGTCGACGCCGACGTCCGCAAGCCTCGCGTGCCACCGATTGGGGGTTGACTTCGTCGCTGAGGCAATCGTTCGCAGAGCTACCACTTCGGTCGAGTAGGGGCGAAGGTCGGTGCGGAGGATCCGACCCATGTAGCGTGCTCGACCGAGCACCTCCCCGGTCGCGGCGATGAATAGCATCTCGTCGCCATCACCCTGCAGCTTCACGCCCATGTCATTTAGCTGGCCCGCCGATAGCAAGTTTACCTGCATGCCAGTGACATAAAGCATGTCAGGGATGAGGATACGCTTCAAAGCCTCCCCTTGCAGAGCGACGGTTCCGCGACCCTCGACAGGCTGCAACGCCCCATTGAAGCCGCGCACGTGCTTCACACTGTCGCTCGGCGCCATGTCGACGAAGACCGCCTTCGTCCCCATCAGGTGGTGGGAGCAACCGCTGTCGAGCAGCACCGCCATCGGGTTTGCCTGCATAGCTGCCGCCACCGCATGGAAGTCCTTGCCAGCTTCCGACGCCAGCAAGACTGTCATCTCCACTACGCTGACCATCAAGCACGACGCTTCTCCGTCGCCTCGGCCTTGCATGTTTTTTTGCCAACACTGGTGGGATTTGTGGACCATTTGTAAATAAACACGTTGCGATCCACGCGAAGGATTTCGTAAAGTTGTTATGGCGACAAAGTGCAAGAAGTGGTCCATCAATCGAGCACGTTGGATGCTTCGGTCGTTTTGCCTTAACACCCGGTAATTACGTTCGTCAACAGACTCAGGCAGCATGGACACCATTTCTCTGACAGCATTGACTATGGGGAGCAGAACAACGAGTGTGAGGCCAATCGCCAGAACTTGTGTTCGCTTTGGTGTCAAAGGACGGTCCATCTACAGCAAGTGTTCGAGTCTGTTTATGTAGGCAATTCACACTTGCCCATCGACCCGTCACATAGCCTGCCGCAGCGTGCCTTGTAAATGGAGCCGCGAAACACATCTTGACATCTTCTTAGTGTGCCACATTTCATGTATATATATATGTATGTATATTGAATATTGAAACTATGTACCACAAACATAAGTGCACACTAACAATAGCGGTCGTAACCGTACGTGAGTGAGCAGAGGCTGTCTGCTCTAGCGAGGATTCTGTGGTGGGTTGAATACTGTTCTGGGATTGGTCCAGATGGACTCGAAACATCTGATCCACGTCCATCTCTTATCATCTGCCAGCCGTATCTTGCCCATCATTCGTTGCTCCTTCAGTAAGCCCTTCAGGAACTTGTCAGCATTCGCCGAATTCTTCCGCTTCTGCCACGCTGTCGAGCGTGCTTTCGTGTACACCCTTGCATGCTGTTGAAAGGCCATTAGGATCAGCCTCAGAACTTGGTGCATTCAGAATTTGCGCCCCCTGAAGACTGCCTCACACGGCTCCCGCCAGACCTGATGAAGCGTAATTGCAATAAGTGTTGCTTTGGGCAAAGCTGTGCTGGTCCCCGGCTTGCGGAAGAGCAAGTCTTCCAGCGAGTTTGTGGGGGAGCGGATGCAGCAGACGGAGAGCCCGCTTCAACGTAGATATCACCCTCTAGATCTTGGGGCAGGTGAAGAGGCAATGTTCCAATGTCTCCTCGCCCTTGCAGTGTGGGCAGAGCCGTTTGTCACTCAGGAACGCCAACCTCTCCCCCACCTGAAGGTTGAAGTTATACACCCATGTAAGCACGTCCCTTGGTTTGCTTGGGGTAACCAAAGACTCTCGAATACTCATAATCTTTTTCCAGTTTATCGATTCGTTCCACTTGCCGGTCCAGTGCAACATTCGGTGTGACAATGCGCGCTTCCCCGACCAATGTCCCCGCATCTGCTTCAACGGTATCACCTCTCCTCCTTCCAAAATTGGGATGCGCAGGAGAGACGTTCCGCTCGTCATGCCCCAGTCAGCCGAGTTCGTGCAGGGGGTCAGCAGCGCCTCCTTCCATTATGCTGGTGCCGCTGCGAAAGCCCTCAGCGCTAGCTTAGCCGGGCCCCTCCCACCTAGCTCCTCCGTTAATTCGGCCAATGATTTCAGCATGCCCGTACCGTCCTGCTGCCGCCTCACCAAGTCGCCCAGAACCCGGTCCCATAGCCTTTCCGCGCCTTTCTGCCCTCCTACTGGTACCGTTGCTCCCACCATAATAGCTCAGTTAAAAACGAGCCTCTCCTCCGCTTCCTCCGCTCCCGTCACATCTACCATCCAAATGCTGAAGGGCGATTTAATGAATAGCTCGCACGTTTGTTTCCACCTTTGGCTCCAACCCTCCCAGTGCCGCAGTAGCCGGTGATGCGCCGTGAAGGTGTCCAGTTTAATCGGGAGGTCGGCCGCTCGTATCATCAACTCCCGCTTGAGCTGATTCGCCTCCGTCATCATCAAGCCAACTCGCATTGTGATACTAGTGTTGAAATGTGCGACACTGTCGCACAATCTGGCGGCCGACCCAACTGCAAACCTGACACATTTGATACATCGGCCTGAAAATTGGCCACCAAATGTGTCAAATTTCTACAATTCGTAAATGCGGCCTATGGGTGGTTGGCTACGAAGTCTACCAAGACCAAGTAGTCGAATTTCACGAAAGATGTAGTCCATACTATAGACCGACCAGAATAGCTTTTAGCGGATCTAACACGTCAATCACCTGTCAGTCATCTCACGCTGATGACACAGCAGCCCCAGGACTCCTCCCCTCTCATCTTGTCCAATAAAGCATTGAAATACCGCAGTCATACGTAACGGAAAAGAGCCGTCCAACGGGTGGGCGGTTCGTAAGTATCGTTCTCGATTCCCACAAATCCCGCCCACGACTACAAATGGCGCTCCTCCGTGCACCGAGCTTCCTTGGGACAAGGAACGATGGCAGGCCGGGCAGTCGTGCAACTGAGCTCCCAGAGGAATTCCATTTCTCCCTCTCCATCCGCCGGTTGCTCATATCTTCCTGTTTCCAGTCTCAGTTTCCGTCCGGTTCACCGTTGCGGCGAAGCCCCTTGTACGAGCGCTGTCAGCGGTCGCGGCTGCCATAGGCGGAGGTCGGCGGCAGCTAGCGCTTACTCGCTGCACGAAACCCTCCCTCTCGCTCCTCCACGCCCCCCAATCTCCCTCGCGACCCGCGCTACACGCCGATTCGATACAACAACGCTGTTGCGGTCGAATCTGTCGGGCGTGCGCCCTACCACCATGGCACGCGTCAGTGGCGGCGCCAGCGCCGGCGCGTCAGGCGCATATGGCGCAGCGCGATCAGCGGGCATGGCGGGCGCGAGCGCTGATGAGAGCGATGAACGGCCTCTTCTCGGCCGTGTGCTCGAACCGCTCCCTGCTGACACGCGCTTGTGGGATTCCCGATGCTTCTCGGGCCCTGTGGTCATTGCACCCGTGCGGGCATCACGTCGTGAGTCCGCTTCCCAGGGTGAGCCTGACGTTCTTCACGACTCGCTGGATCCTGGGGTGCAGGTTGATTGGAGTGCGGTCGCGGATTCTGGACTGTGGCGGATGTACTATTATGGTCGGGATGGTGATTACTGGGCCAAAGGGGTTAAAGCGCTGCCTGTGCCGATTGGCCGGGTGGGGCTCGCCGTCAGCAGGGATGGGGTGACGTGGCAGCGCGTGAGAGGGCCGTTGCCTGGTGGTGCTGTGCTGGATCCTGCTCAGTCTGACGAGGCTTTTGACAGTGTCCACGTGGCAGTTGGTGACGTTTTTCATGCGTGGAGTACAGAACACGTTGCTGATGATGAGTCAGATTCAGCTGATGATGAGTCAGCATGTGCTATTGACGATCCGGCATCATGCGCTAGTGCTCCTGGTAGCACAGGCACCAGCAGTGCTGCAGTTGCCACCGACAGCACCAACCGCAGCAGCAGCAGCAGCAGCAGCAGCAGCAGCAGGCAGCAAGAATGGTGCATGTTCTACTCTGGGGGCAGTCTAAAACTCTCTGACCTGCCCGGACTGCCCGGAGTGAAAGCACAGGGTGCAGAGATTCAAATAGGAGCAGCGTGGTCGCGGGATGGAGTGCACTTTAACGTCAGGACAGAGACGCCTCTGCTGGAAAAGGGTGCCCCAGGGGAGTGGGATCAGTTTGGCGTGTCGTGGCCTCGTGTCGTTTGCCTTCCACAGGCGTCTCCTGCTGCTGCTGCTGCTGCTGTTGCGGGGAGAATCTGGCAGAGGCAGTGGTTCCTCTTTGACTGTGGATCCGTCGTTTGCTAGCGACACGTGGCTCATGACCTACCACACACGTGGACAGGATGAGCAGGGGAAGGCAGGCTACTCTGCTGGTGCTGCTGTGTCGCATGATGGTGGCAGGACCTGGCAGCGTCTGGGGAAGGTGCTGTCAGGAGGGGGACCAGAGTCATGGGACGAGCAGGGAGTGTCTGTCCGCAGTGTTGTGGCGGTGCCAGCTGGCAAAGCAGGGCCGAGTACCGATGGTCATGCTGCCGCTGCTGCTGCTGCATCTGGTGGTAACCCTGGGGTTGCTGCAACATCAGGCGCAGAGGCAGTAGAGTCGGGCGAAGCTGAAGCACCTGCAGCATGCACTCGCCTCATCATGCTGTACGAAGGCTGCAACGCCAGCAACGAGTTTGCCATTGGCCTTGCCACGTCGGACGACGGCGGGCTGACGTGGCACAAGGCCATTGTTGCAGGTCCCGAGCCAGGTGGACCGGTGTTGAGGGCCAGAAGTGGGGAGGAGGCGTGGGATAACATCCTTGTGGGGGCACCTTACGTGGTTGCCCGCGCGGATGGCAGCCTTTGGATGTATTATGTGGGGGTGGGGAAGATGCAAGGGGATGAGGCCCCCAGGCAAGGGATTGGGCTGGCTGTGAGCTGCGGCAGTGACTACACTAGGTGGGAAAGATACAAGTGTACATAAAGGCCCCATTCGATAGCAAAGTGCAATCTGGTGGTCGCCAGCCTAGCCTAGTTTCCGAACTTGACCTCTCAAACAGACGAATCCGGACTTTGTTTCCGCCCAGTTACCCTCATGCTTCATTGCTTTCGTACCGTATCTTGCAGGGCCAAAGGTTGAGTAGACAGGAAGTGCACACTAGGTGTGAACACCAAGGTTGTGCAGCAAGTTTGTACACTAGATCTGTATATCCATCTTTGCTGAAAGACCAGCTACTGTGCAGTGAGAAGGCATAACAAACATGAGAGCTACCATACACAGCACTCAGGAAAACAAACACCCGTTCACCCACACTCACAAAAGGACATACCTCATATTATACACATCAGGTACACAGACAGACACATTCAGACACACAAGAACACCCCTGACAAGTTCGACAGCAGCATATGCATCTATTTACAAAGCGTGGCCAGGAAAGTGCATTGAATCAGGAGCACCCACTCATGCTGTACCGTATGTGGTGGGCGGGGCGTGAGTGGCGCATGCAGCAGCTGCTAGTCCGCTGTGTGGTAGCGGCAGATGCGAGACAGCGCCCGCACACTCCACACACACCTCCCACTCCCACTCCTCTCACCCCTCTGCCTCCCCATGCCTGCTCCATCACTGCCGCTACTGCTGCTATGGCTGCCACCACTGCTGCTGCTGCTGCTGCTGGTGCTACCACTGGTTCCACTGTTGCTACTGCCACTGCTGCCTACCTCCCCTCCTTCCCCCATCACACCGTCTCTTCCCCCGTCCTCTACCAAACACGGATCCTCCCCCCCTCCTTCCTCCTCCTCCTCATCCTCGTCTTCCTCTTCATCTTCCTCCTCGTCCTCCTCATACTCTTCAGAGTCCTCCCACACCGAAGCAGCCCTCCAGGCTGGGAGGAACTCCTTGCCTCGGTGAATGGAAGACAGCACGATGCCGAACCTGCCCACCTGCAAGCAGCAAGGGCACTGGCGTTGTCACCTTTCTGAAAGCACGGGCAATCGGATCAAGTGAAAACATTCATAACTGGTAATTACTCTTCTCCGTGATCGTCCCCTCCCCTCTCCCCCTTCCACCCTCCCCACTCCCGCCTCCCCCATCCCCACTCCCCACTAACCCCTCCCCCCTCCCCACTGCCCCCTCCCCCATTCCCCTCCCCCTGCCCCCCCTGCCCCTCCCCCCTCCCCCCTCCCGCCTCCACCTCACCCCCTCTGTCACCTGGTTCAAGTTCCTCAGGTCCGTGCCATGCCCCCCAAGTGAGCAGAACTTCCACCCAATCGGCGCACGGCACCTGGCGCACGCCACGTCAGCGATCTGCATGGCGCCCTGCGCGAGCTCCTCGGTGCGCGGCGGGGCGAGCAGGAAGGCGCCCGGGTGCAGCGCGTTGCAGTACACCGCCACCTCCGTGCCACTGCCCGCATCCCAGCAGTGCCGCGCACTCAACACCTGCCCGCCATGCCCATTGCCCAGCACGTTATCAGGATGGGTTTGGAGGGTGGAGGGCATGGGGGGTTCAGGGAGAGAGTGGGGAGAAGGGAAGTGCGGGGTAGGAATCGAAGTCGGACGGGGAGGAGAGCGGAGTGGCACTGCTGATGCTTGTCAAGAGGAGGGATACGTACCTGGCAGCCCAATCCATCACACCTGCCTGCTCCCAGCACCCTGCCCTCACTCACTCACTCACTCTGAGGTGGCCCTTTGCAGTGTTGCCAGCCAGTACCTGGTGCGAGTGGAAGAGCACGTTCAGGCACGGCGCCTTGCCCTGCGCGCCACTGCCACCCCCCACGTGTCCCCGCCGCCCAGAGCACAGCACAGCGTGCCTGCCATCTCCCTCGCCTGACAGCCCGTCCGCATACAAGTGCACCCGCCCCTGCCCTCCTCTCCCTGCCGCTACCGCTGCCGCTTCTGCCGCCGCCGCCACTGCTAGAGGTTCAGCTGGCGGCATTGGTGGTGGTGGCGCGGGGGCAGCGCGGGCTAGTCCCGGGTAGGAGTCAGGGCGCACGAGGTCCAGGTACTTGCGCACCAGAAACGCCTTCGCCTCCGCTGCATACAGCCCCTGCTGCTGCGCTGCCCCCCCTGCTGCGCCTGCTGCGGCCGTGGCATGAGCGTGAGCGGATGGGGCACTAGCAGCATCGCGGGAGGACGGAGGCGCGCTGGGGAGGAGAGCGGGAGACGCGGCGGTGGGGGAGGATCCGCGGGGAGGTGTTGCGGCGTCGAGGTGAGACGGGGCGAGGGCGGGGGAGGGGGAGGGGGAGGCGGAAGATGGAGGGGAGGGGGAGGCGGCGAGGCGGGGGAAGACGGTGCGGACCTGGATGCCGAGGAAGAGCAGGCAGCGCGCACAGTGCAGCGTGGCCGCGTCCATCAGATGCGCGCACGCCCGCCCCCACGCTGCCACCCGCGCGCACACGCAATGGGGCAGGGCGGGGCGAATTGGGGAGGGCGGGGAGGTGGGACGGGGAGGAGAAGGAAGAAATTATTCAACACGACATGGCACGACAGGGCACGACACATGGCACGACTGCTGCATCCCGGCGAACGCGGAGGGGACGGCATGCAGCGACGCGAGGGCCTTACAGAGGCGCGGCACGGCGATGAAGGGCACGTTGGAGTGCAGCGCGCGTATCGCTCCCCCCTCCCCCACCTCCCCCCCCTGCACGCACGCCGCCGCGCCATCGTCCAGCAGCAACAGCAGCGGCACCGCCGGCGCTCCCGCTGGCGGCGACGCAGAAGCGTCGGACGGAAATAGGAGGACGGCGGGTGATGCGCGGCTGCTGCCGCTGCTGCTGCTGCGAAAGGCACCCGCGGGGGAGAGAGACAGCGAGGACGGAGGCGGAGGAGGGCGGGTGGTGCAGGGGATGAGGGCGCGCGGGGTGAAGAGGCGCGCGCCGCATGCCTTGCAGGCGAACTCGCGCGCCGTGAAGGGGCGCGCTATGCCGCGGAGGTCCTGCGGGGCATGGGGGAGTCGCGGAGAGATGGGGGAAGCAGGTGCTGAGACGATTGGCGCATGGCGCGTGATTTGGGAAACAGAACAGACGGCGGTACTAGCAATGCCATGGTGCTCGCCACGAGAAACGAAGAGAGAGACGGGAGAGAGCGATCGCGCAAAGGGTTTTCGAATAAAAAGCAACGAGCGTGAATGGCCATGCCATGCTGAGATGGACGAGCGATGCCACGGCGCGTGTCACTGGGTGGGGAAGGGGCTCGTGATGGGGGGAGTCGGCGCGGAGAAATCCAGTGCGCACGAGCGGCGACAAGGGATTCGCGGAGTGCAGGGAGGGTAACGGAGAGATTCCCCGATGCAGAAGCTGCAACAGCGGCAACAGCGGCAAAAGCGGAAAACGCGGAAAAAAGAGACGCACTTTGCAGGTGAGAGCGAGCGAGACGGCATCCTTCGGAGAGAGCGACGCGGCGATTAGCGCCTTGGCGGTTTCGGGCAGCCACTGGAACTCGCGAAACTGCGGCGCGCAGTCGACCGCCGCCATTGCTTGCTCAAAACGCGGAGCAGAGGCGCTTCAGGATTTGCGGGAACGAGTCAATCCCCGCTAAGGAGTAGTAAAGGCTTGAAAAGGTGGGATGGGAAAGCTCAACCAGCGGCAACTTGAGGTGAGAGACATTTAGGAGCCGTGAATGTAGGAGTGGGGGAAGGGCAGGTGAAGGTGAAGCACGCGTGTATTTGGGAAAGGGGGAATTGGGGGGAGTGGGTGGCGCGCGAGAGGCAATGGACTTTGCCCGTGGGGGAGGGCTCCGACCGAATCCGAGGCAAACACTGGCGCAGCAAGCGCGCAGTTCACAGGCCATCATGGGCGCACTCTGTAGCAAGCACCCCGTTTCAAGGAATTACAAGCTGGTACTGTTCTAAACAGCTTTATCATGTAAATGAACCATAGTAGGCTTGAAACGTTGACGCAATAGCCGGTTTCTATATTGTGTAAGGAACTCTCATCGCATACAACCGGAACTTCGAAACGCCTAAACCCGTTCAGTGTCGCCCAGCTACTCAAGATGCCCAACCCATGCACGCGAATTTGCCATGCCCGCGATGGAAACTCTGCACCCGTGTATTAGTGTTAGGCCCGACGGCCTAAGTCCGCTAAAGAATTAGCGGGGTCGACTAAGTCGAGGATAAAGCGCGGCGGAAGGCTTTGGCGAAAAGACTATTGGCGAAATAGGCGAAGAAGTTACTGAGTAATTGAAAGAGAGTTGAATGAGAACTGATTGATATTGGTGGATACAAGCAAGGTTGATATAGCATGCAAGAGCAATTGTGGGAAAGTGGTTTGTGGGACTAGGAATTGTAGTGCAAGAAAAGTAGAGTGCCACGTGGCACTAGGAAATCTAGGAAGATAAGGATAAGGGTGAGTTGGAAAGTACTGTTCGGAATGAACAGTAAACACCCCTCTAACACTACCCCCCTCCCAAGGAGGCGACGTCCGCGGCGCCTGCAGACTGAAGGTACGCTTTGAGGCAAGCGTTGTCAGGAGACAGCGAGGACGAAGGAACCCAGCTGTCGTCGGCTGCGTCGTAACCACGCCAACGAACCAAGAAGTCGATGAAAGAGACACCTCCCTGCAGACGGCGACGGTGCCTGAGGATGCGCTGGATCTGATAGTCGGGCTCGTCGGTGTCAACAGCTACCGGCAGTGGAGTGCGATCACGGCCCGAGAAGGTGGCGTTGGGATCGGTGTATGGACGGAGGAGAGACACGTGGAATGACGGGTGCATGCGGAAATGAGCGGGAAGGCGAAGGCGGTATGCGACTGGACCAAGTGCGCGCTCAATGACAAATGGACCAATGAAGCGTGGGCGAAGCTTGCCGTCCTGGGGAAGTCGGAGGTTGCGGCTGTCGAGAAGGACACGGTCACCGACAGAAAACGACACCTCACGACGACTGCGGTTGGTGGTGCGTGCCATGCGTGCATTTGCAAGCTCAAGGTGCTTCCTCACGTGGTCGTGAATGAAGGTGAGGTGCTGGTGGAAGTTGTCCGCACGAGGGACAGTGGGTGTGAGATCGACACGAGTGGGGACATTGGGGTGCTGACCGTACAGTGCGAAGAACGGTGACATGCCTGTGGCGGAGTGGTGCGTGTTGTTGTATGCGAACTCTGCCATGCTCAGCTTCTTGTCCCATGCGGCTGCGTCGTGCATCGTGATGCTGCGAAGAATCTGCTCCAAAGTCTGGTTCACACGCTCGGTCTGTCCGTCTGTCTCTGGATGGTACGCAGACGACATGGCTAAGCGAGTCCCAAACAGTGCAAAAAGCTGCTTCCAGAACTTCGAGGTGAATCTAGGGTCGCGGTCTGAGATGATGGAATCTGGAACCCCGTGCAGTCGGACTACGTTATCTACGAACAGCGTCGCGGCTTCCTCTGCTGTGACCTGGCCGTGCGTGGGGATGAAATGCGCTGCTCGGGAAAACTTGTCCACTACCACGAAGATGGCGTCGTGACCCCTAACTGTGCGCGGTAAAGCCATGATGAAATCCATGGTAACTACCTGCCAAGGCTGGTCGGGCGGTGGAATCGGCTGCAAAAGTCCTGCTTTGCGCTGGCGAGAGGACTTCGTACGCTGACACGTGTCGCACGAGCGAATATAATCCTCTACGTCTGCTGCAAGCCCTGGCCAGTAGTACGTGCGACTAAGCGTCTTAGCCGTCTTATCTGCTCCGAAGTGCCCTGCGCTAACTACATCGTGTGCCTCTGAGAGAAGGAGCTGTCGAAGAGGGCGGTAGGCTGGAACCCAAATCCGTGCTGTGCCCTTCCGTATGTAGACACTACCCTGCACCTCTGCTCCTGCGGGCGGCTGTGCTGTGAAGTCAGGATCTACTGTGTAACCGTGCTCGAAGAGTGCTGTGAGAAGTGGATGGCCGGCAGTGACTGTGAGACTAGCGAGCTGGCAACTAGGGCGAGTGAGCGGATCTGCTGGGTTGCGCACGCCTGGCTTGTACTCTATCCTGTAGTGGAAACTCCCCTCCATGAACTCCATCCATCTAGCCTGGCGACGACTCAGCTGCGGCTGCGACTTGAGAAAGCGAAGCGAACAGTGGTCCGTGCGTATAACACTATCTGCCCCCTCTAGGTAGCACCTCCACACCTTATACGCATGGATGATCGCGAGCGCCTCCTTGTCGTGGATCGGATAGTTCAACTCTGCTCCCCTAAGCTTACGCGACTCGTACGCGATCGGCTGCAACCCGCGTCCCTGGTCCTGAAGAAGCACTGCACCTATGGCCTGATCTGAAGCGTCGGTCACTACAACGTACGGGCGAGTGGGATCAGGGTACGACAGTGTCGGTGAAGACGTGAGCGACTGCTTCATCTGCTCGAACGCCTGCTGCTGCGCTGGACCCCAAACGTACTCTACGCCTTTCCGAAGTAGGTCGGTGAGTGGACTAGCGATGGAAGCGTAACCCTGAACGAAACGACGGTAGTAGTTCGCGAATCCGAGAAAGCTCTGCAACTCCTTGACTGAGGTCGGTGCTATCCAATCCTGTACTGCTGCGATCTTCTTCGGGTCGGTCCTAACGCCACTAGCGGAAACGACGTGACCTAGAAACTCGACCTCGGGGAGGAAGAACTCGCACTTAGACTGCTTCGCGTACAGCTTCTCCCTCCGCAAGACCTCAAAGACCCTCTGCAAGTGCTGCACGTGCTCCTCCTTCGACTTGGAAAAGATGAGGATGTCGTCTAGGTAAACTACGACGAACGAACCTAGGAACTCCGAGAGGACTGTGTTCATGAGCGTCTGGAACGTTGCTGGGGCGTTGGTCAAACCGAACGGTAGTACCCTAAACTCGTACAACCCCTGCTTCGTACGAAACGCCGTCTTGTGCTGATCCTCTGGAACTACGCGAATCTGGTGGTAACCCGAACGAAGGTCGATCTTGGAAAATACTCTAGCGCCCTGCACTGCATCTAGGAGATCCTCTACTCTCGGCACCGGGAATCTGTTTTTGACGGTGGCGGCGTTCAGTGCGCGGTAATCTATGCACATCCGTAACCCTCCGTCTTTCTTAGGCGCGAACAGGATCGGTGCTGCCCAAGGCGATCTAGATGGCTGTATGAACCCCTGCGCGAGAAAGTGCCTAACCTGCTGCGTCATCTCCTCTGTCTCTGCTGGACTCAACCTCCACTGCGGCTTCGCTACTGGCTTGCTCCCCGGCTCCAACTCTATTCGATGGTCTACTGCTCGGCTGGGAGGTAACCCTGGGGGCAACTCGTCAGGGAAGACGTCTGCGAACTCAGCTAACAGTGCACTCACCTCAGCAGGAAGAGTCGCCTTCTCACTAACTGCTGCACTCCCTCCTTTCCCCTCCTCAGCTTCAACCTCCTCAAGGAAAACCGCGAAGATCCGTGCCGCACGCTTCACTAACTGTCGCACACGAACAGCATTAATGATAGCTGTGGATGATGTGGCCCCATCGCTCCACTGTGGCAGCTCCCGGAACTCCCCGTCTACCTTGACGCTACAGCTTCCCAGAGCCCAATCGAACTGTGTACTAACCGTCCGTAGCCAGTCTCTCCCGAAGATGAAATCGTAACCGTCCAGCGTCGCAGAGTCAAAGTCACGCCTAACAGTGATCGGTCCTAGCACTACGCGCAACTTGCGAATGACTGGTCCTATGTGAAGCGGCGTCCCATCTACCATGCGAGCGTCCTTGAAGTTGACTGCCGTATCTGCTTCGAGATGGAGACGACTAACTAATGAAGACGAAACGAACGAGTGGCTAGCTCCGCTATCGACGAGAATCTTAACAGGAACTCCGCGAAGCTTCCCTAGAAGCACGACTGGACGATCAACAGTGTCTACCCTGTTGAGATAATAGGCAAAAGAGGACTGAACTAGCAAGAATGGGGATACAAATAGCAAACCCTAGAAGGGTTGTACTCGCTACAGAGCACCCCACTACAGGCTAGAGCATAATATTCTGACACACCCCCATAGCCAAAGTGGGGTGTAATCAGCAGAGCAAGCAAAGCAGTACAAGCTCAGGGTGGATCACGATGTCACCACACATTCTGAGCACAAGTTCAAGAAGCAACAGTTTATAAGTTATGAGCAAAGCTAGAGGCGGTCACAGAGGACAAATGAGGAGGAGGAGGGCTGGCGAGAGGAGAAAGGAGTGGAGGCGACGACTGAAGCTGCAGACACACGGGCATCAGACGGCTCTGGCGCAACGCTAGTGGCTACCGGAAGCAGAGCCCCGGACTACAGGGGTAATAGTCGCTGCGGAGGGTGCAGCGGACCCACGGGCGACAGGTGCAGCCGGCTCTCTGAGCTACCGGAGGTCCGCGGAACCCCGGAATACAGGTGCTGCGGACGACACGACGGCAGTCTCCGCTCAACCTCCCCCAACAGTCCCACACCCCTCGACACACACCCCTTGCTTCACCCCTAGCTCCACTCCCACGGTACCCCCCCTTAAACCCCAAACCCTAGACTCCCACACACCACCCCCCTCAGCGGCAGCTGCAGTAGAGGGAGA